GGGGGAAGCAGAAAGGCCGGGGAGGGGGGTGGGGGGGCTAGTCCTGCTTTTCCCCAGCTCCCTCGGGGGCACAGGGAGTCCTGGGCAGTGGGGCAGGGCCCTGAGGTGCCGTTACACGAATTGGCCCTGAGGGCTGGGCAAGCCCCTGGCCCTGCGCTGTCAGCCTGGCTGCCCTAGGCAGGGCCTGGCTCTGGGCGTGGGCAGCCCCCCGGTGCAGCCTGTGGCTCCCTGCTGTACCCACCCCAGCTGTGCCCAGCCCTGGCTGCTGGAGGGGGGCTAGTGCCCATACTGCTCTGGGGCCCAGCTGCCCTCTCCCTACCAGCACCGGCTGGGGGCAGGGGGCGTGCAGGGCTGATGGTGCCACCCGAGGCTGGAGCCGGGCCCTGCCTTGCCCCTCTGTGGCTGGGCCGTGGGCCCGTCGCTCGTCCCCCACCAGGCTGCAGCTAAGCCCCTGAGCCGCCTTAGCAGGTGATGCGAGGCAGCCCTTGGCTTTCCGAGCGGTTTAAGGGGCCGTGGCGGGCACCGGTGGCCCCCCTGCGTGGCGAGGCCCCAGGCTAGGCACAGAGCGGCAGGAGTGCGAGGAGATGGCCCTGGCTCGCCTGTGGCGCTCGGCTGGGCCGTGGCGGTGCCGTGCGCTGCTGCTGGCAGGACTCCTGCTGCTGCTCCTCCGGCAGGCGGCCAAGCCGTGAGTATCTGGCACCTGGGGGGGGGTGTCAGGGGAGCTCAGCAAACCGGGCCGGGGGCAGCAGGGGCTGAATGGGGCTGTCGGCAGGAGCAGCTGCAGGTGCTGGGCCACGGCTCCCCTGTAATCCAGCGCCCAGCTCTTGCTGTGGGCAAAGGCTCGGCGTGGGCAGGCTGGGACAAGACACCCCCCCACCACCACCTGCAGTGCATGTGGGGTTGGGGCCTGGGGGTTCCCCACTGGCCACATGCTTCAGCAAGCAAAGCAAGGGGGCTGCTGCTTCAGGAGCCCATCCTGGCCCAGGGTGCCAGTGTGCCAAGTGCTGTACACACAGGTGTAACACAGTAGTGTCCAGGCACACCCCCATTGCACCAGGCGCTGTACACGTGGGTGTATCATGGTGGTGCCCAGGCACACCCCCATTGCACCAGGTGCTGTACACACGGGTGTATCATGGTGGTGCCCAGGCACCCTCCCCCCCCCACTTGCACCAGGCACATCACAAACCCAGAACCGGCCAGGACCCGAAGGCCTCCCTGGCATTCAGTGGCCGCTAGGGCATTTCTCCCAGGCATGGCTTGCATAGGAACCAGCCAAGGGCTGGGGCAGCCCCTGTCCCCGCCATGGGTGGGCCGGGCACTGAGCCCCCCGGAGCTGGCTGGGGCCGGCGTAGCCTAGCACCACACGCTGACAAGCGGTGTAGGGTGGGGGTAGGCACCTGGCCCGGAGGCCAGCCAGGAGAGTTGTGCCTGCAGGGCCCGGAGGCCAGCCACCAGCGACGGGAACCCTGGGGCAGCACAGCCAGGGCCCCAGGCCGGCACTCAGGACACCTGGGTCCTCTTCCCAGGGCTGCAGGCTGAATCCCCTCCCCCGCCTGGCCCCTTCTCCCACCCTGTCCACCACTCGGTTCAGACTCAGTGCTGTGGGGCTGGGCCTGGCCATGCAGCACCTGGGGGCCCCCCTCCAGCCAACGTCTCCCAGCAGCGAGGGCCCCTCACCCACCCCTTCTCTCCCGCCGCAGGGAGGTGGGTAGAACCAGCCCCACCGAGCCACTGAGGGGGAAGAACTCTGCCCGCCCGCCCCCCAACGTGGTGTTCGTGAAGACCCACAAGACGGGCAGCAGCACCCTGCAGAACATCCTCTTCCGCCTGGGCGAGCGGCACAACCTCACCGTGGCCTTCCCCCGTTACACCTACCAGTTTGCCTACCCCCAGCGCTTCGCCCCCGCCTTCGTGGAGCCGCTGCCGCCGGGCGCCGCCCGCTACAACCTGCTGCTCAGCCACCTGCGGCTGGCAGCCGGCGAGGTGCGCCGGGTCATGCCCCCGGACAGCCTCTACCTCACCATCCTGCGCGACCCCGTCCGCACCTTCCAGTCCGTCTTCGCCTACTACCGCAGCACCGTGCCCGCCTTCCGGCCCCTGGCCAACCACACCCGGCCCCTGGCCGCCTTCCTGCAGGCCCCGGCACGCTACTACGACCCGGCCGACATGGGCAACGGGCTGGCCAGGAACCCCATGGCCTTTGACCTGGGGCTGGAGGCCGGCGGGGAGGAAGGGGGCAGCCGATGGGACCGGGAGCTGGAGCGGCTCAACCGGACCTTCCACCTGGTGCTCATCGCCGAGCACTTCGACGAGTCCCTGGTGCTGGCGCGGGAGCTGCTGGGGCTGCGCCTGGAGGAGCTGGCCTACGTGCGGCTCAACGCCCGCCGGGGGGCCATGGACGAGGCCTCGGCCCCGGGGCTGGCGCGGCAGATCCGAGCGTGGAACTGGCTGGACGTGCGGCTCTACCAGTACTTCCGGGCTGTGCTGTGGCGCCGGGTGGAGCGTTACGGCTACACGCGCATGAAGGGCGAGCTGGAGGCCCTGCGCTCGCTGCTGCGGGAGACCCGGGAGACCTGCCTGGCCGGGGAGGCCGTGGGGCCAGAGGAGACGGCCGACGAGCTGCGGCCCTGGCAGCCCGACTCCGCCACCATCCTGGGCTACAACCTGCGGCCCAGCCTCCCCCCGGCCCAGTACGCCACCTGCTACAGCCTGGTGCTGCCGGAGCTGCAGTATCACGCCCGCCTCTACTACCGGCAATACGGCAGGGAGCTGTGCTCCCTGCCGTGTGACTAGTGGGGACAGGCCAGGGGGCTTTGAATGCCCACCAGCGAGCCCCAGGGCCCAGAGCAGCAGCCCAGCCGCCTGGCCCTACAGCCCCCCTCTGACCCACAGCCCACGAGTCGAGCAGGCGAGCCCAGCGAGGCAGGACAGCTGGGCTTTGTCACTGCCCCATCCCCGCTCCGGGCCTGAGATTCCCCCCCATTTCGCCTAGCTAGACTGAGCCCTTCAGGGCTGCCCTCAGCGGGACGGGGACCACGAGCTTAGCGTGTGCAGCGCCCGGCCCAACCCCCTCCCCTGCCCCCTGGGAGCCCTGCTCTTAGCCGGATCCATAGAGCGCTGCTGTAGCTTGCCCTGGAGAAGCTGGAAGCGGCCCTGCCCCACCCTGTGTCACGCACGGGCCCCCCGCTTTCTCCTTCCCGCAGGACCTTACCCGAGAGGCCCAAGGAGCACACGACTGTGGAGGATGGGGGAAAGCGCCCGCCCCGCTGTCCAAACCCACAATAAATAAACCAGGTCCATTTAAAACCAGCAGCTGTGGCATGTTCTGACGCCGCTGAAGGGAGAGTCTGCTTCGTTGGGCTGCCCCGGGCTGGGGGGAAGGGGAGAGCCCCCTCCTCCCCACTACACAGGGCGCATGTGGCTGGTTCGATTCCCGTGCTAAAGCCCTCTCAGCCTGCCGCCACCCTAAACCATGGGGCCCCCGGCCCCAGCTTTCTGCTGTTAGGGCTGGATTAGAGCAGTGGAGGGGCTCCTGATGCCCCCACGCTAGCCCTGTGGCTCTGCTCCCTGCCCCCCAGTGACAGCCATGGGGAAGGGCCTGGCCCTATGGCGTCTCCGAGGCCTAGTGTCCTTCCCTGTGGTGCGAGGGACGCTGCACAAGGACGGTGGGCTGGTGGAGAGCAGTGATAGGGTCCCCTGGGGGATACAGGGGTCCCCCCTACCTCACGGGGTCAGTGCCTGCGGATGGCAGCTCCCTCTGGGGACAGGCGGCAGCCGGGCCGTCTGACCTCTGCACTGCGGTTCAGAGGGGCAGCCCGGGAGCCGGCCGAGGGCAGAGCTGGAAACAGCCAATGACCCGCGCAGCAGTCGCTCAGCTCCGGGGGGT